TGCCAAGAACCTACAACCAAGATTACTTTATCCAGCAAAGCTATCATTCAGAAGTGAAGGTCAGATAAAGAGCTTCACAGATAAGGAAAAGCTAAAGGAGTTCATCACCACCAAACCAGGATTATATGAAATGCTGAAAGGTATCCTATAAGAAGAGGAAGAGGAAGAAAAAGGTAAAGATACAAATTATGAACAACAAATACGCATCTATCAACAAGTGAATCTAAGAATCAAGTGAATAAATAATCTGATGAACAGAATGTACTGGTGATTATAATAGAATCAGGGACATAGAAAGGGAATGGACTGACTATTCTTGTGGGGGGAAGGGGTGTGGGAGATGCGGGAAGATACTGGACAAAAATCGTGCACCTATGGATGAGGACAGTGGGTGGGGAGTGAGGGCAGGGGTGGGGCGGGAACTGGGAGGAGGGGAATTATTGGGGGAAAAAAGAAGAACAAATGTAATAATCTGAACAATAAAGATTTAATTTAAAAAAAAAAAGGCATACTCCTCCTGCCTTGCTCTCTCTTGGACTGCTGGCTGTGGGGGAATGTGAGCTGTGAGACCCTGGGGACAGGAATTGAAGCCCCTACACCCCTGCCCCTGTCAACAACCAGCACCAGTGCCAGTCATGTAATGAGCCACCTTTACAAGAACATTCTCCAACTCATACAACTTAAACAATCCAATAAAAAAATGGGCAAGGGTTCTAAATAGACACTTTTCGAAAGAGGACATAAAGAAAGCCAAGAGATATATGAAAACATGCTCAAAGTCACTAATCATCCAAGAGATGCAAATCAAAATGACAATGAGGTACCATCTCACACCTGTCAGAATGGCTATCATCAACAAACAACAAGTGCTGGCGAGGATGCAGAGAAAAAGGAACACTCGTGCATTGCTGGTGGGAATGCAGACTGGTGCAGCCACTATGGAAAACAGTATGGAGTTCCCTCAACAAACTAAATATGGAACTCCCATTTGACCCAGTGATCCCACTTCTAGGAAT